TTCTTGGGCATTGAGGTGGCTCGCTCTAAGACTGGCATTTTCATCTCTCAACGCAAGTATGTTCTTAACTTGCTTTCTGCTTCTGGTCAGCTTGGCGCTCGTCCTACTGATACTCCGATTGAGCAGAATCATCGGTTGGCTGATTCTGAGGGGGAGTTGTTGTCAGATATTAGTCAGTATCAACAACTTGTGGGGAAGCTCATCTATTTGTCCATGACTCGACCTGACATTGCTTATGCCGTTAGTGTCGTGAGTCAATTCATGCATTCTCCTCGTGCCCCACACCTTGATGTAGCTATTCAATTTCTTCGCTACTTAAAAGGGTGTCCAGACCGTGGTATTTTGTTTGCTAATCATGGTCACTTACTTGTTGAGGCTTGGACAGATGCTGATTATGCAGGATTAATTTCAGATAAGAGGTCTACTTCAGGTTATTGTACCACTATTGGTGGTAACTTGATTACTTGGCGCAGTAAGAAGCAGGATGTTGTCTGTCGATCTAGTGCAAAGGCAGAGTATAGGGCTATGGCTCTTGAGGTAGGTGAGTTGCTTTGGCTAAAAACCTTAATGACAGACTTGTGCCTTCCAGTGTCGCTTCCATTCTCACTCTACTGCGACAACAAGTCTGCCATTAACATAGCAGCAAATCCCGTTCAGCATGACAGGACTAAGCATATAGAGGTGGACCGTCACTTCATTCGAGAGAAGATCATCTCTGGTCAAATTTGCACTCCATTTGTCACAAGCTCTCAGCAGCTTGCAGACATTCTTACAAAGGGCGTCAGCAAGATTGTGTTTGAGAATGCATTGTCCAAGTTGGACGTTTCAGATATCCACGCACCAACTTGAGGGGGAGTGTTAGCATTTATGATACCACGATTTATGGTATAACTTACCATAATAGCAGAGATTTGACAATGCATATAATAGCATATATATGATACCACGATTTATGGTATGACTTACCATAATAGCAGAAATTTGACGATGCTATAGAATATGCCGTAGAATATGCTTTAGAATAGGTTGTGATTTGATTTTGATTTGATTTAGTTTCCTTTCTTGTAATATGAGCATGTGCTCATTTTATCTATAAATACTAGAGCTGTGAATGAGTAATTCATCTCATTCAAACCTTTACGCAATTCTCTCTTTTCTCTTCTTTTTATATATTTCTACTGTTTTTATGCTGGTTTGAATGATTTCAGCTCCACGCTTTCTTTCCTTTCAATGTGTTAAGTCCATACTTATTTATGATGGTGTTGAGATGAAATAACGAAAGATATCCAAAAAGACATTCCATGGTGTTTTGTTGTTTGCGGATGACATAGTCTTAATAGATACGTCGAAAGAAGCTTTAGCAACAAAGTTAAAAACATGCAGAAAAGTGTTAGAAGCAAAAGGCCTAAAAATTAGTGAAACTAAAATAGAGTATATGAGATGTAATTTTGATAAAGCAACAGAAGAAGATTATATTACAAATTCAAGACCAAATAATTACTCAAAATAACTATTTTTGCTATTTAGGTTCAATATTACGACAAGATGGGGAGATAGATGGTGATGTAGTAAGTAGGATTGGAGCAGGGTTGGCAAAATGGAGGCAAGCTAGTTGCATTCTATGTTACATATGAATCTCAAATAAATTAAAAGGAAAATTCTATAGCATGGTTATTAGGCCGGCTATGTTGTGTTGGGCGTTGAAAAAGAAACAAGAACAACACATTCATGTAGCAGAAGTAAGGATGTTACGAGTAATTAGATGCGATAGGATTAGTAATGAATGAGTGAGGGGTAAGCGGGAAGTAGCTCCTATTAGTGATAAAATTAGAGAAAGTAAGCTTAGGCGGTATGGTATACAACGTAAAGTGGAAGATGTAATAGTTAAAAGAGGAAGGGTTGTTTTCCTAGAAGGTGAGGAACAAAGAGGGCAGCTAAAACATACATGGGATGAAATAATTAAAAATGTTTTTTAAAAACCAAATATTGTAAGTGGCATGGTTTATAACAGGAAAAAATAGAAAAGGAGAATCATTTGGTTGACCCCATTCATATGGGACAAAGGCAAAGATGATGATGATGTTGCTTTCTTTCATTTGAATCAAAATTCAATCAATTAAATCATTAAGTTAGAAGTATCTTATTGTAGCAAACAAGTAGCTAGTTTATGAAATCAAAGTGAGAATTAAAAGACATCGAGTTTTCTTTTGTCACATAAGATCTAATTGTAGAAAGAATCACACGTTGTAGATAATTATTTTTCTTTTTGAAGCTTTGGTTAAGATAAAGCAATGAATTATTCTCTTCACTAAATTAGGCAAAAATGATGAACTTGATTTTCCCTTTTTATGTATGTATTTGTACAACCACCACCACCAATCCTTTTTTCCAACTACTTGGGGTCGGCTATATGAATCATATGTTTTCATTCCGTTCTATCTAAAGGCGCAGCATCCGTCAAACCACATGCTATAATATCTTTCTTAACTAACTCTACATACGTTAACTTTGGTATTCCTCTTTCCTGGTATAACTCTCAATGTGACTATGTCACTCTTTCTAACTGGCGCACTTAAAGGTCTTCTTTGCACATGTCCAAACCATCTTAACTAATTTTCTCTCATTTTAACTCCCATTTGTGCTGCTCCAACCATCTCCCGAATGTGATCATTTTATCTCCAATTTATGTTAGGGTTAAGTGCACTAAACCCCCCTGAACTATCAAAAAGACACTTAACCCCTTAAACTATATCTTTTGTTGCAAATCGTTAATTTGGTGTCTAAAATTTAACGCTAAAGACACACGTGAGGGGAAAATTTTATAAAGACAGAAATAGCCCTAATGACTGTTATATATATATATATATATATATATATATATATATATATATATATATATATATTATATACACATGTTATATGTATACAAAATCCACGGGTAGGGATGGTACAACAGGAGAAAGGGGTGCCCATCCACCACCTGAAATTTCTCCGCCGACCAACACAGATAGATAGCCCACACAAAACACTCTATTTCTTCCTCTCCAACAGACCTAGCTCCGCACCACTCTTGCTATTGAGACAACCAATTATCGGCAACACCACCGGCAATCACTAGATCGGCGACGATGGCTACAACACCGGCTATCACCAGATCAATGACGACTGATAGGGTTAAATGATAGATCTGAATTTTTTTTCAATCAAAATCGCAATTGAATAGCACTTCGGGTCTGCAATCGCTGACTAGAACTCATCACTTTGACCTTCAATTCCTCAAATAGAGGGCTGAATTCCGAACCAAAGTATTGTACATAGGGCTGCAAATGAACAGAGCTGTTCATGAACAGCTCGGGCTCGGCTCATTAAAAGCTCAGTTCGGGCTCGTTCGTTTAGTAAAGCTCAATTTTTAGGCTCATTTAGTAAACGAGCCGAGCTTGAACAATGTTAAGCTCGGCTCGTGAGCATGCTCGTTTACATAAATATATATTTATAATATAAATTATTATATTTTAAAACTAGCCCATATATATAATTCCAGCCCAAATTCATAGAAGTATATTTTCATTAGCCCATTTAGTGTTGGGGCATTGAGAAGCCCATCTAATTAAGTAGCCCACTAACTAATCATAGATTCATCTCAGCCATTTGACTGAACTTATAATTCTTTAAGGGTTAGATAAAGAAACCCTAAAAGTAGCCGCAAGATGTTGCAACGGCTTCTCCAATCCAATTGGCGGCAATGGAAATCCAGTTAGTGCAACATCCTTCTACTCCTTAGGCGGCTGTATTCTACTCCTAAGGCGACATCAGTTTAGGTCTATTTCTTCCCCCTCTCTCTCTCTCGTTTAATATTATTCATAAATCTGATAAATCAAACATTGATTAACTTGAAGCTAGTGAAGGAGATTTTGAAGAATGGAGAAGATGAGTGTTTAACATGTGAATTGATAGTGACATTTTTCTGTTTCAAAATGGTTCTCCTCGATCCATTTGATAGATAAGTGCATACACACACACACACACACACATCTCAACATACAAGCCCGAGCCGAGCTTTGCTCAGGCTCGTCAAAAATTTACCGGGCTGAGCTTGAGCCTTGCTGGGCTAAGCTTGGCTGAGCCCGAGCAACACTCTGACTTAGGCGAGCCGAGCCCAAGTAGCCTAAAGCTCAGCTCGGCTCGGCTCATTTGCAGCCTTAATTGTACATCTTCTCCGAGGAGGTGGAGAAATTTCCCACTACCCAATCGCAGCCTTATGCCCGTCTGTCACTGTTCATCTTCTTCAACGCACAGCCCTAAACAATGTGCAAGACCCAATTGCTCTAAACACAATTACAGGAGCCGCAAGACCCAATTGCAAAACCCTTACACCAATCGCAGTCCAACACTCAAGAAAATATAGAGTTCTGTATCTTTCTATATTTCATCAGATCCTCATTTCACCAACCTGATTGGTCGGATTCTAACAAATGTTTGGGTAATTTGTAAGAAACTTTTTCTTTAATTTAATCAAAAAGATAATTAAAAAGGACAATATTAATTATCTTTTTTTTCCTAGTTGGTACTCACACACACTTGTCTTTTCTGAGACTTAAACTCCTGACCTCACTTTGGGAAGTAAGAGGCTGATAACGCTAGGCCATTGGCCCATTGGTCAATATTAATTATCATATATATATTTCATGTAGAAGATGGTTGGCTGTTTCATTGATGTGTTATGGTCTGGCTGTTTATAGACACTCATTACTACCTTAAAATCTCTACAGTTTTATGAATTTTTGGATGATTTTTTGGCGAGTTTGGGTTTTTTAATTTTTCAGAGTTGACTATGATTTCTCCTGGTTATTCCATCCCTGCTCATTTTTGTTTTCTTTTCCTTTTGTAAGTGATGCATACTTTCTGTTGTTCTGTTGTATGGTGCTTTTTCCTATCAGTATCTCTTGTAGTCTCCAATGCTGATCTTCTAAAACCAAATATTGACTTGGGTTCTCTTCTAGGTTTTTAACTAAACTTCTCACTGAAGATTTGCCTCGGCTATTTGTACGTCCAAAGAAGATTGTTCTAGATTTTCAGAAGGGGAAAGCAGTTGGTCCTGTTCCAAATGTTTTCAAGTCAGGGGAAATGCAAGGAAATACAGATTTTGCTGGAGAATTATCTGTTACTCTTGTAGATGCTCAGAAGCTTTCTTATGTTTTCTATGGTAACAACTTTTTTCTTTTCTTGTATAACTGTGAAAGTTATCTCATTCCATAGTCCACCTTTAATATAGACTTTAAGTTATGTGTTTTCTGCAAAAAAAAATGACTTTTGCTTATCTTTGAATGCAATTTTCCATTTGTAATATATCCCTTCCTTATTCCATACTCACTGGTCCCCTGCATTATCCAGGCAAAACTGATCCCTATGTTATTCTCAGCCTGGGAGATCAGATTATACGTAGTAAGAAGAACAGTCAAACCACTGTCATTGGACCTCCTGGTGAGCCAATTTGGAATCAGGTAAAGTTTCTAAGCATTTACTTTTTGCCGCAGTGCTTCATATACTTGCGGAAATCTGTTTAACTAGCAGGATGTAATTTTCACCTGAAGTTCCAGCTCCCGTCAATGATAAGGTATTCTTGCTTTCTTGCAGGATTTTCATATGCTAGTTGCAAACCCTAGAAAACAGAAGCTGTACATTCAAGTGAAGGATTCCCTTGGGTTCACAAATTTGACTATTGGTTCTGGAGAGGTAAAGCACTTTAGAATTTTGGGAAATAATTTTAACTTGGACCAGAAAAGGTGCTGGCATGCGATATGTCTAGGAATAAGTGGAGCATGGATTTTTTGGAATGGCACAAGGTCTTATAAAGCAGAGTTGGTTTTTGATAAAAAAAAAAATAAAAATAAAAAAGAAAAAAAAAAGAAAAGGAATTTATAGAAAAACGTAGTCAGCAAGGTACAAGACAAAGGAGGCAGACAATTGAAGCATAGAAACAAATATGGGAAACAGACATGATACCATACATATATGACAATGTGAAAAATTCGTAAAAAGTAGGATATGGATTAGGAAAGAACACAACAAATTAATGTGTACATATCATAGTAATGTGGATATGCATAAAAATTAATATATATGTATATGTATAAATGAAAATTATTGTTTTTCAGGTTATATAGATTGTTATTTACATTTTCTTTCAAGCTAAGAGTTATATTGCATGGACATAAATTTTGGACTAAGTTATACATTATCATTATATCACAATACTTCTTTTTTGAAAAAAATTTGAAACTTTATGTATACTATGATATTATAGTTAGAAAGTTTACATTTTAATATTTAAGACTTGTTAAACATGTTTCTTGAAGCATCTAAGAAGTATCCTATATGCGGTTAAAGAATTGAATTCATGTTCAAAATAATAATAAAAAAAATTATTTTAAAATTATGGATATGTTTAGGAAATATAGGATACCTATCTGCAAGTATGTGTAGAGTGTCCATCTGAGCTTCATTGGAGGCAAACCTCTGCCAAAAACGAAAAGAGAGGGACAAGGAGGGAAAACCTATTATAGAAAAGAAGGTAATACATCACGCCATCCAAATGAAAGTGTCAGTCTGCAAAATCTCAATTGATTTTCATTATTAACTAAATGAGAAAATTACATCCTTTTTTGTAGGCAATATTGTATTAAAAATTTCTACTGATCAAAAGTCATGAAAAGTAATACACAGTCAGTCAGTAAAGGAGTGTGAAAAATACTTTACATACTGTCTCCAAATTCCTAATGTTTAGAAATGAAAAATACTTAACACACTGTCTCCAAATTCCTAATGAAGTCACTTTACCAAATTTTGAAAGTTTTCCTAATTTAAAATATAGATTTGTATTAAGTACAATCAATAACAAATCATCAGCTACCGTAGATGGTATGCCTTTGGACAGATCAATTTTTTCTGACGGATGCAGCTAGATGCTCAACTTCAACAGTATGTTTGCTTTATCAGACTTTTTGTTGCAGTGAAGTAAAAAGGACAGGCTGATGCAACAAAGAGTAAAGGAATGGAGTTGTTGTCAGGTGTAGCAGCATCTTCTATAGCATAAGGAAACAAAATATTATTTTGTATTATTTAGCGGAGGTTTTAATGTATTATTGCCAGTTCTTTGTTGATATGGAAGGAACTTTAGCCCTTTTGCTCAAACAGTTTATTTGCCTTTGTTATGACAAACACTGCTTACCAAGAACACAATCAAGAATCATGACAGAAAAGTAAACATGCCACACACAAAGAACACAAAGATTTACGTGGCTTGGCGTAACCCCATGTCCTCCGACAAAAAAATTCACTATGTGAAAAACAGGAGATTACAAGTTGTAGTCCCCAAACCCTAGTCCTCTTTCTCACTGTCTTTCTTGCAGCTTTCATTGTTCTCTCATAACACACCCCAAACCCTAAACACCCTTATATACTGGGTTGCAAGAGAGTCCTAAACAGGGTCCAAGACCTGGAAGAGAAAACGGGTCAATAAAATTTTCCCAGGGGCACTGGCCCTGGACCCCGTGGCTTTGGTGGGCTTAGGCCCACACAAAGCCCAATTTTCAGGTCGAAACCAGGTTGCAAAAACCGTTAAAAGGAAAGGAGGGGGAGACGAGCCAAATGTATGGCCGTGTTAATGGCTTCCTTCTAAGGTCTCTGAACCATAAATCCTATAAAAGGAAAGGATAGTATTCCTTGTTGTGTTGTTATGTTTTTTTCCCCCTAGTTGTGTTGTTATTAAATCATTATATATAAATTATAGCTACAGTAATGCCTGTGAAATTTGACTCTCTGCAATGTTAACTCACAATTCAAAATTTAATTATAATGTTGTCATGGTGATATTCTTTTCATTCCCTGCATGTAAATATATATATATATAAACAAAATACTGTTTACCAGGTTGATCTGGGGTCTCTGCAAGATACTGTACCAACAGATAGGATCGTGGTCTTGCGAGGCGGTTGGGGACTGCTTAGAAAGAAACCTTCTGGGGAAATACTACTTCGACTGACATATAAAGCATATGTTGAGGATGAAGAAGATGAAAGGACCGAGCCAAAATCTATGGATACAGAAGCTTCAGAAGATGAGTTGTCTGATACAGATGAATCAGATGCTACTTATGAGCAGCGTGAAAGGGATTCCTCAAATGGAACAGAAAATGAATCCTTTATGGATGTTCTAGCAGCATTAATTGTCAGTGAGGAATTTCAAGGGATTGTGGCCTCTGAAACAGGAAATCCCAGATCTGCTGATGATGTCAAAACCACAGCAACAACAACATTAAGACCACGCGGTCTTAGTGCTGAAACCATTCAGTCATACCCTGACAGTGGTTCTGAAGGTTCTGGAGGTAGTGCACTTTTAAATTGTCTCTAATTTGATGCTATAATTTCTGAACTTCATTATAGTATAGTTCTTTTTCTTCTTGTTTGGATGCATCATAAACAAATTATCATTTGCAGGATCAGCTTTGTTTTGGCTTGCAGTGCTTACTAGTATCTTGGTGCTCATTGCTATTAATATGGGTGGTTCAAGCTTTTTCAATCCTTAATATAATGTGACAGAGCTTCTAGAGAACTGGTATTCAGTGCTTCTGTTTGATCAAGTAATTCTCTCGACTGCTTCTTGTTTGTGGCTTTAAAAAAAAATAAAAAAATCCTTATGCAGTTCCTTTATATGAATTAATCTTTTTTTTTGTTTTTTTTTTTCTCCTATTGAAGTTGTTGCTTTTCTCATTTCAAACTGTAACTTTGTCATAAGTTGTCTGTGGTGAAATGTATGTTTCTTGTCCTATAAAATTATTTCTTCTCTCATTCATCTTACTTGTAATGCACGAGTGTATCTCTGTTGTATGATCCATATGATTAAATTCTCACAATTTTTTGCTGATATCCTTTTGCTCTATCATGTCCATCCAGAAAGTTAGAAAACGAGAGTTACTCCTAGTTAGAACGTTCTATGGTGCAGTTTTTTTTTGTAATTATCAGTTATTTAGTAATATAAATATATGTCGGCATAAGGTGGTGAGTAATGTAATCTTCTAATCCTTTTTTACCCTCTCTCCTCTGTTCTCCTCTTCTTTTTCTTTCTTTTGACCCTACCGTCAGTTAGTAATTAGTATCACATTCCTACTTGGAATCAGAGGACCTGATCAAAATCTTGAAGCCATCACAATTTTTTGGATCACATTGAAAACATTGGAGGTGTGCTGACTTCAACATCCATGAGATGACCCCATGCTCACAATAACATCTGTATGGACTAGTCACGATGATGTTGAGATTTGTTTCTTTGGGAGTGCCTGGGTTGGAATTTTTGGTTCAACTCAGTCCCCAAAGCCTCTGCCTCTGGCATAAAACACAACCTTTTCAAAAACTTAAAAGGTTTTGGACCTTGGAGCAGTTAGAAGCCCATTTGATCACTGTTGGAGAATATCATTATAGGAACCCTTCAATTACTCCTTGACAGAATATTGATATGAGAAGATCATAGGAGTAATTGAAGGGTTCCTATAATAGTATTCTCTAACAATCACCAAACCATAATGATATGAGAATGATGCAGCCGACAGAGAGATTTTGGAATCTATAAAATCATTAACCCAATCAGAATTGACAAAGGCTCTATCAAGCCTAGCCATAATCCTTCTAGCAATAACCTGTTTATTTGACCAAGACCACGATCCATTGTTCACTGGTAAATCATCAAGGCCCACAACATCCAACATTCCATTAAACTCATCTAATAACGGTTGAGGAATTCTCAAACTTCCCACTTTTTCATTATGTAACCTAACCATATTCCGGTCCCCAAGAGCAAGCCAAGGACCACTTATAGCAGAACCACGATCCTTCAAACTTTGCCACAAAAACCTTCTTTAGCTACCGTATTTGCAGCATACACAGCAGAGATAAAACAGCGTTGATCAGTTCCTAGAACCTTACACTTAACTAAGACATGTTGAGCATCAGAATGAATAACATCAACATCAAGCACAGCAGAATTCCACCCTATCGAAATCTTCCCACCAGAATGGGACTCATAATTAGCTTTCCAGCTCCAAATAGGATTTATTTTCTTGCAATCTTTAGGAATTTAGCTTCTCTAAATCTAGATTCTACAAGCACAGCAAGATAACATTTCTCCGCAGAAAGCTAGTGCCTGACTCTGGGATTAATTTTCTTGCAATCATGTTTACTCATTTGGCATTGTTCCTTCTAAATTTTTTTGAATGCCTTGCTTATTAATTTTTTTTTTTAATGCCATTCAGTTCCTACCTTTTCTAACTTTTTCTATGCCTTAAGTATACTATCCAAACCAACCACTTTATCATTTTTCAATTTTTAAAATGTGTCCTCTACATCCTAATTATTGATTTATTTAGCATTCCTATATTAAATTCATTACGTACCACTTCATCTCTTGAAAATTCCTCATTTAATAGGCGTCGAAAGTAATATCTCCATCTATCTAATATGTCGTTCTCTTTAAGTAATATTCTATGATCTGAGTTCTTGATACATCTAATTTGATCCTTGTCTCTACTTGACTTATCTCTACTTTTTGCCAATCTAAAAATCGCTATTTCACCCTCTTTTGTGCCTAGTTTTTCATTTAAGTCCTTTAATGCATTTTGTTTAGGAATACTTACTATTTTCTTGGCTTCATATCTGAATTTCTTATATTTCTCTAAATCCTTTTTATTGTTTACTTTTTTGCCATTCTTTAAAAATCTTCCTTCAGGAGATGAATAAGCTATCAGTTTCATGTCAAAAGAAGTTTCTGTGGCCAAGCCTAAGTAGGTTGTCTTTTGAAGATTAAAAACCATGTCGCAAATCTCAGATGATGTGTTGCTTGACTTGCTTTGAAACAATTCTTGGTCCATACCCTTCTGTATATAGTTCCCTTCCAACATTATTTGAATACCAATTCATTTTCACTAAAAAGATATGCTGGAAACAATGTATAGAAAATTTAATTTCTTTAGCTTGCTCATCATATGCTCTAGCATTTATACTCATTTAAATTAGACTGCTTACCAGATAAACTTGTTTCTTGCAGGCTGGCTGGCACCATACTTAATTATTGAGGCGTACACATCCTGTGGATCCAATTTTTCCTTGTATCCACTAATCTTCAATTATTTGAATTTGTGGTTATAAACAGAGGAATGTTCTTTTGGCGGCAGAAAGTTTTGGCCTTTTTCTCCTCGAGCAGTAATGGTATGAAATATTGCTGATATGTTTTCATTGTTAATATTCTATATCGTTATACCAGTCATTCTTAAATTTTCTTTCTTCATTTTTTTTCTTTCTTTCTTTTCATTAGGCAGGCAAGTTTTTTTTGGAAAAGTGTGTAGGTTCTCTCATTTACAAGTTATATATATATTCCAATGAAATGAGTTTATACTAGGTTTAGAAAATTGCGTGGTTGAAAAAGTGACAATATAAATGTAATAATTTTTTTACCTTGTCTGTAGAAGAAAAAGATGTAGAAACTGATGTTTGGAAAGATGAGGAGATTAATAGTGTGTCCACAATGATAGGGACTCACAAGCATGCATGTTTTTGTGTGCTCTACACCAGGCTAACGTTTTCCAGATTTTAGCGTCTCTCGCACACCAGCCTCGAAAGATTTGAGGATTCTTGATCCTTTTCCTCTTTGGCTACATACATTATATGCGCATATCTTTGTAAACCTATTGTACCAAAATGTTACGCCATAACCGTTTATTAAATAATGTAGAATAAGAAAATGTTGGACAGTGAATGATGGGAGGGAAGGAGATGCATGGGAACACATTTTACTAAATTCAATTTGTTTTTACTTCAATCCGAAAATACGTTTCCAAATTCCATTCGGCAATCCCCGTCACTGGATGAGAGCAGCCATCCAAGTTCCCCCGTGTTGCATTCAGGGAGTTCTATAACTTTACTTTCAAGTAAACATTCCAAGATGCCAGGAACATCGGAATCGGGGAAGGGGTATTCTTTCTTCTCTAACTCCTTTAGCGTAGGACGCTGTCTCTCCCTCTCTTGAAACTGGCGAGGCTTTTTATCATCCTTCTTGTCATCTCTAACAGATATCTTGATTGGGGTGGTTGAGATAGCCATTGAATCTTTAGCCGCATTTTTTGATGACTTGTCGCCCTTCTTCCAGTCCTTCTTATCTTTGCGTGGTTCTATAGTCAAGGGACTTTTGCCGTCATGGGATTTCATACTGATCTCCATGTCATGGGCACGCGTAGCCAATTCCTCAAATGTGCGAGGTTTTATGTCTTGCAGAATGTAGAGCAGGCCCCAATGCATTCCCTGCATACACATCTCCACAGCAGATACTTCTGACAAACGGTCCTTGCAGTCAAGACTGAGGGCTCTCCACCGATTAATGTAGTCGATTACAGGCTCATCCTTCCATTGCTTCGTGTTAGTCAACTCTATCATACTAACAGTACGACGAGTGCTATAGAACCTATTCAAGAATTCTCGTTCCATCTGATCCCAACTATCAATTGATTCTGACTTTAGGTCAGTGTACCACTCGAACGCGTTTCCTTTAAGGGACCGGACAAACTGTTTGACTAGTAAGTCCCCCTCTGTTCCGGCATTGTTACAAGTTTCGACAAAATGGGCAATGTGTTGCTTGGGGTTACCTTTTCCGTCAAATTGCTGAATCTTCGGAGGTTGGTATCCTACATGCATTCTCATACTGTCGATTCTCCTTGTATAGGGCGTTGAGTACATGAGAGTGCTCTGTGAGACACCACCATATTGAGCTCGAATTGTATTCGTTATCATATCTTGCAATTGTTCGACAGATAATGAAGAGACTAAAGAAGAGGTATGATTGGTTTGACCAGTCGCCTGTTCTATCCTCGGCGTCTGGTTTTGACTGGTCGCTTGTTCTGTCACCGGCGTCTGTTTGGGATTCTCCCTGTGAGTACCTTGTGCTGTAGAATTAGGATTCTCCGTTAGTATTGCTGTGGAAGATGTAGGTTTCCCAGACGGTAGTGGTGTGAAAGTTGCACGATTCCCGGATGGCATTGGTGTTTCACCGAAGGTCTGAACTTCCAATTTATTCATTAGTGTAGCGATTTGCAAGTCCTTTTCTTCAATAGTCTTTGTGAGGTTCTCAATGGAATGAGCCATAGTTGCTAGTTGTTCCTCCACCGTAGCAGCTCCAGTCATCATAGCAGCAACCACATCTAAGTATGATAGGCCTTGAGAATCCACGTTCCTTGAAGTGATTGATTGCTCCGAAGTCTGACGTGGTGACTCTGGGGGTGAACCGACATTAGAGTGAGCATCATAGATAGAACGAAGTGAATCTGGTGGTGGAGCCTCCACTGGAATAATGTCAAGGTTTTTGACATGTTGAGTTTTCACGTTCGCCGGTGTTGGAGGATTAGTTTTCACCACATCTTGCTGAAGTTTGAATGACGCCATCGCCTGGGACTTGCTACGTGTCACAGGGCCCGTCAAGGTACTTCCATCGCTTAATTTGGTCTTCGTGCCACTTTTCATGGTGGCTTTAGCGTCGACCTTTGCAATAGCGATGTTCTTTTGGGCTTTCTTGTCTGTCTGAATCTTAATGGGAGCCATAGAATCTGATAGAGAAGAAACTTGATGGTAGGAGAAAGAGATGAGAGGCAAAGGAGGTCCCACCGGGCGTGCCACAAATTTGTACACACAAATTTTGTAAGTCTGCAATAGAAACAATGTGGAGTACAGTCCTTTGTAATATCTTTTACAAAAAAAGAATGGTCATATGATTCGATCTCCTTGTTTTTGGTTGGTTGGATCCAAGGGTTGCATGAGCTTGTTCTTGAATCACTGTGGAATTTGTTGAAGAACGGCACGTCGTTGGATGTGCTTGATGTTCTTCACTTTTGGGTTTCGATTCTGAATTTGTGTCTGAATTCTGAGTCTCTGGATTTCTGAGTTTCTGAATTCTGAATTTGTGTTTGAATTTGTAGACTTCTGAATTCTGAATCCTCTCCCTTTCTTCCTCTAGGCCTCTATTTATAGGCTTCTTGGATTAATAGGATGATGACACGTGTCATCTCCTGATAAGGATAAAACTATAACTGGGTCGGGCCGGTTATATTGTGATAATTATCCTTAAAGATAATTATTCAAAATATATTTTATTAGGAATAATTATCGTTTTATTTAATTATCTGGGCTGGGAAAATTAAATAATTTAAGTGGACCAAGCCTGGTAAATTAAATAATTTATTTAAACATTAGGCCTATATTTAATGGGTTCATTCGTTAAAACTAAAGCCCACCAAATTTTAGTGTCTACACCCCGGAAAATGCAATACCGGAGGACCCAAAATTCCTCCTATCGCTTTCTACGCTCTAGCTGCTTTGCTTTCCCTCTCATTTCACAAGGCCATTCCGCTGAGATATGATGTAATACCGACCCCAGCCGATTCACACCCAAAAGGAGGATTGGTCTTTCTGCATACGCACTCGGCTTGATTTTTTGGTTTGATCATTTTGCCAACTTTCATGATTCATTTTGGGACTCTGTGAAGGGCTTCTCCGCTAGTTTTGACCCCCAGAGGTCCATTCTTTCTAGAGCCTGAGGTTGATTCTGATGTGGTCGCCATCCCTCGCAAACCTAACTCCCCGGCTTCTCATTGAGAGGGGCGATACTCGTACTCATTCATAGGGTATGACAGTAACACCAGTTCGTCATCAAAGTGGAACCTTTGGTCCCAACACATACTCACAAAGCCCCCTGTTAGTTGTCGGAAGTAGACTTATCCTGCAGCTCTCTTGGGATGTTTGCGTTGCTCGTATGTCCTGCGAGTGACTTTACCTCTTCAGGTTCCTGCAAGTTTTCACATTTTCCTCCATTTCCGCTTATGACACATATATATGCAAGAGAGAGATCGATGTCCGATTCTCTTTCTTATTGTACTCATTTTTTTGACTAAATTTTTACTACCTATGTCTCGTAAAAGATGTCCTGTTAAACACGGAGTATTATCATGTGTTACTCCATTAATCAATATATATATATATATATATATATATATATATATATACATATAAACTCCACCCCTCGCCTATAGTTCCATATTTGCTGCTATATGCAGAATAGACAATCCAGAACTTGAGTTAAAAGAACAATTCGCGGCAATTGAGTTTCAAGAAATACGTGGCACTGAGACAATAAATCTAAAAACGACCATAATCTAAAAACTGGGAATTAAGGTGAAAGTAAGAAATCAGAAAAGCAATGAAAACATAAATAGTTATCTGACCCATTTATGATTTGGGGATTTCTATGACATGATCTAAAAATCCATAGACCTGTTACTCGATTACCAAACACTCATTCTCGTCTAGTGGGGTCCGATTCGTAAACTTTGTTTGGATCTTTTACCACTCAATTTGGGAATTATACCCCTTCGCCATATCTGAAGGAGATCACAAACAACCATGAATAAGTAGGGTTGCAACTTGGCCGCTCGAAATCAGTCCGAAAATTTTGGGTCTTGGACTTTTAAATTTACAAATAGGAATCAAATTGGATTGAATTTTCTCAAAATTCAACTATGTTCGGGTTCGACCCGACCCAAACCCCCAATTTTTTAAAATATATATATATATCTGCACTTTCCAGATCATGGAAACCAGAAATTAAAAAAAAAAAAGGATAAATTACACTGACTTCTTTTGAAGTTTGGTTAATTTACATTGACCTCCCTTCTTGTTTGTCAAATAACAATGACCTCCCAAGTCAGAATTGTTGGAAGAACAGTGTTAACGGTTCTAATGAAATTACTTTTATACCTTTTTATATTTATATTGTATTTTATTAAAAACACAATGTAATTTGAAAAGACAAAAATGCCCAAAAACCCCATCCGTCGTTCTCGTTGGGTGCTCCATCCGTTGCTGTCATACCCATGCCATCATCTTCACCATCGCCGGCCCCATCAACCAGCGGCCATCGCCGAACACAAAGCTCACTGTATTCTATGGGAATCACGAACAGAGATAATAATGAATCAATGAATTTTCAGAGATTCGGAGGTGAATTGAACGATATTGATGATTGTGACACATTTCAGTCTCCTCACCCGAGTCCGTTGTTGCGATCTTCAAGTTCAGTGATATAATAGCACTCCGACGAGCAAGAGCGGGACGGAGAACAGATCGTCGTCGGTGGTGTTTGTGTTGGAGTCTCATCCGATGAGAGGAGAGAGAAGACAAACACTTTTTCTCTCTACTGGTTTAACCTAAGCATGAACTGCGGCGGAGAGTAGTGACTCCAAGATGAGG